CTCACCAGCATTACTTAACCTGTCACCTCTCACCAGCATTACTTAACCTGTCACCTCTCACCAGCATTACTTAACCTGTCACAGGTTTTGTGACTAGTACTGACATGACAGCAAAAGTCACCTCTCACCAGCATTACTTAACCTGTCACAGGTTTTGTGACTAGTACTGACATGACAGCAAAAGTCGCCTCTCACCAGCATTACTTAACCTGTCACAGGTTTTGTGACTAGTACTGACATGACAGCAAAAGTCACCTCTCACCAGCATTACTTAACCTGTCACAGGTTTTGTGACTAGTACTGACATGACAGCAAAAGTCACCTCTCACCAGCATTACTTATAACCTGTCACAGGTTTTGTGACTAGTACTGACATGACAGTAAAAGTCACCTCTCACCAGCATTACTTAACCTGTCACAGGTTTTGTGACTAGTACTGACATGACAGTAAAAGTCACCTCTCACCAGCATTACTTAACCTGTCACAGGTTTTGTGACTAGTACTGACATGACAGTAAAAGTCGCCTCTCACCAGCATTGCTTAACCTCCACTACATAATGTAAATCTGTCATAAGTTTTGTGACTAGTACTGACATGACAGTAAAAGTCACCTCTCGCCAGCATTACTTAACTTCCACTAAATAATATAAACCTGTCACAGGTCTTGCAATTAGTACTAACATGACAGTAAAAGTCACCTATCACCAGCATTGCTTAATTTTCACTACATAATGTAAGTTTGTCATAAGTTTTGTGATTACTACTGACATGACAGTAAAAGTCACTTCTCGCCAGTATTACTTAACTTCCATTAAATAATATAAACCTAATTTAAAAGGGTTATCAATGGCATGAGAATTTCTGTCAAAGATCTCAAAATGACACAAGGAAACTTGAAATAACAACATGCATATTTCAACTTGTATAAAACTAAATGTCCATTTCTAATCAGACTTCTTTTATCTGTACCAAAGACTTCAAGTTACACACAATAAAAACATTTCTTGTGACATACACTAATTTTCTTATACTATTAGTATATCTTAATTGAAATTTTTGAAAACATTCCAAATCTACTTTCAATGTGCAGCTAATAAATTTAAATTATTTTTACTAAAAAACCAACTGAAAACACATAACTAATGACAAAAGGATAAAAACAGAGAATCAAGTCATTCTTCTTTATGAGTTATCTACTAATAAGCAACCTATGTGGTATTACGTTACCACGAAGCTCGGAATATTTTTGAAAACATTAATGTGATGTTATTACAGTTAATAATAGATCACAATGACATGGTGACTTACGCCTCACAGATCCCTCTGCATCAATACGAGGTGACCACATAACAGTGACTGATGTCTGAGAAACGTTTTTCACCTTCACTTCAGGGGGTTGAGGGGGGATCTAGATAAATTACACATCAGAGGGTCAAAAACCAAGCTAACAATAATTAGGACAAATAATTATAAGAACCGTGAATACTAAACTGAATTAATTGGAATAACAGAATCAAAAATTAATTCAATAATTTAACTGATATACATTTATATTAATTCATGCTACATATAACATTTCAACCGATAACTTCTTATCCTGTTCTCTGTGGTTTATTAGTAATAAAGCTAATTTGACTAACACAACTTACTTAGTTAGTTTAATGGATAACAGGGGTTTCATTGAGTAAACAGTGTGTTTAATACATTCATAAAAAGGATCCAAATCACTTACTGAAATTTTTCCAAAGGTATAGAAACATTTACAAGATAGTCAAGTACATCTTACTGAGAAACAAACACTCAATTGTGTTCTCTAACTGTCTCGGGGTAAAAACTTCCAGTCATTACATCAGTTTTGAATAGTTTATACTCATGAAGCGAAATCAAACAAATACTAAAGGACATAATTAGATAACACTTGACACACTAGACATCTTCCCTCCAAATCAAACAAATACTAAAAGATAATTAGATAACACTTGACACACTAGACATCTTCCCTCCAAATCAAACAAATACTGAAAGATATAATTATATAACATTTGACACACTAGACGTCTTTTAATTAGATAACACTTGACACACTAGACGTCTTCCCTCCAAATCACACAAATACTGAAAGATATAATTATATAACATTTGACACACTAGACGTCTTTCCTCCAAATCAAACAAATACTAAAGGACATAATTAGATAACACTTGACACACTAGACATCTTCCCTCCAAATCAAACAAATATTGAAGGATATAATCAGATAACACTTGACACACTAGACATCTTCCCTACAAATCAAACAAATACTAAAGGACATAATTAGATAGCACTTGACACACTAGACATCTTCCCTCCAAATCAAACAAATATTGAAGGATATAATCAGATAACACTTGACACACTAGACGTCTTCCCTACAAATCAAACAAATACTGAAAGATAATCAGATAACACTTGACACACTAGACGTCTTCCCTAGATAATTAGATAACACTTGACACACTAGACATCTTCCCTGACCTTTATTTCCTGCTGAACAATGGATGAGATCATACTCAACTCCTCACTTTTATTTATAGGTTTGTCAGAAATTGGACTGTTATTTCCGTAAAGTACGTCTTGCACTATGTATGAAACTATAATCTTTGGTCCCTGCTGAAAGAGAACAGCTAAACCTAGCTTGTTGCTATGATACTCAACTCTAACAAACAATGAGACAAGATAGTCAAGTGGACCATTAAGACACATGATAGGCTCGAACAGCTGGTTTACTGATAATGTACTGACATACATCAACAATGACTCTTATAATTCGGACCTTTATTGATAAAACTTTTCCTTTCATTTTAACTTACCTCCATTTAGAGTACCAGTAACAAGTTCTTCTGAGGGTGGACCATCTCCTGCATTGTTAAAAGCATTGACAGATACGGAGTATCTTGTAGATGGAAGCAAGTTACGAAGAAGCGTCTTCTCTTCACGCAGGTTAGTTTTAATGACTGTCTCATAAGATAACTGTGATGCTGACCCCTCAACCTTGTAGCCTACATGGTATCCCTTTAATTGACCATTCCAGGTATCAGCTGGTGGTGGCTGTACATTTATTATAGGACAACATTCAAAACTCGGATCAGGTGAAAACACTCATTAATAAAATTATATAACATTTCTGTTGTTCAAAATTTTTTAGTAATTATAAAAATGTACACATATAGAATTTCTAAAAAAATCTAACAAGTACTTTAGAGTAAAGTGCTACAAATATAAAAATCTAACAAGTACTTCAGAGTAAAGTGCTACAAATATAAGAATCTAACAAGTACTTTACAGTAGAGTGCTACAAATATAAAAAGCTAACACGTACTTTAGAGTAAAGTGCTACAAATATAAAAATCTAACAAGTACTTCAGAGTAAAGTGCTACAAATATAAGAATCTAACAAGTACTTTAGAGTAAAGTGCTACAAATATAAAAATCTAACAAGTACTTTAGAGTAGAGTGCTACAAATATAAAAATCTAACAAGTACTTCAGAGTAAAGTGCTACAAATATAAAAATCTAACAAGTACTTTAGAGTAAAGTGCTACAAATATAAAAATCTAACAAGTACTTTACAGTAAAGTGCTACAAATATAAAAAGCTAACAAGTACTTTAGAGTAAAGTGCTACAAATATAAGAATCTAACAAGTACTTCAGAGTAAAGTGCTACAAATATAAAAATCTAACAAGTATTTTAGAGTAAAGTCTTACAAAAACGACAAAACCTACCTTCCACGAAATCTGTAATGTATGGGAATCCACGGGTTCAACCTCTATATCAACAGGGGGTGCTTCTGGTTCTGAAATCAAACATTCCATTACAATTAAAAAATGGAGATTCATTGAAAATTATTGATAACAAATACCTCAACTCTCTGTCACTATACTTGTTAAACATAGGAGTTTCGTATAGCATGTGGTGATTTGAAGCACTGAAAGATTTCTCTTCTTGGAGGATTACATTTTAGGACTTTTTGATGTAAAGTTCTCCTATTCCTTGATAAAGAAGCATGCAAAAAATTGAACTTTAGCATTATTAACAAAGTAGTGTCAAACCTTGAGTAAAGGAAAGTGATGTTATGATACGGAAGTAACTGGCCAGTCCACGACCAGCTAACAATTACACATTAGAGGTAGATCCACTAGAACTGATCCCTGAATACATTGGTCTGTAGCAGCTAAAGTAGGAACTGCACTATACTAGATAATTCACAAGGGTTTAGAACTGCAAAAGCTTCACTCAACGCACATAGTTGAATAGAAGACAAACTGTAAAAATGTGCACAAACAGTATTTGCCAGGCAACAAATGGATGTCCTTACATTGGATATCTGTGATTTGTTAGCTACAAATTTTAACAATAAACAGCACACAATTTTAAAACAATATGTTAAAACAAGTCAAATATATTTACAAATGTTTGTTACACTGTTAGTTATCACAGTTGTATTCAGAGCTTTGATTAACTGTTTCCTTTTTGTCAAAGTCCACACAGGTTGGTTCAGTTACTTTAGAACACAATTGACAAGACAAATTATTTCTTCTCTACTCTGTTATTACAATACAATCTATGATAATTTCACTTTATAAATCACAAAATATGACTCAATAATACAATAATTGCCAATTCACAACAACTGAACTACACAATGTATGATTTGAAAACAATTACATACACAAACCTGAGATAAACTACTACTTGTAAAAATAACTAAATTTAACACTCGTGCTATACTTAAACAATCTAAATCACAACACTCATAAAATTTAAATTGTCATGTAGATCTAACATCTTGTTTAAGCACCTATAAAAATTTGGGCAATTTATTATTTTTCTGGTTATAAAACGTTTCCATTGCACCACATGATGATACTATTTTCACAAGATGCAATACCAAGATTAGATCATTGGCAGGAATCTCCCATGGATTACTTTACCTCTGAGTTACTTAAACAGGCACTTGAAAGTCATTGCTCACATGACTGATGGACTTTAGAAACTACGTAAAGAAGAGCAAAATATTAACCTTAGCATATTGTTTAAAATCTTCTTGAAGTGGAGATTTCACTACAAAGCAAACATGTAAAACCAGGGCCATCACAGAGAAATCCATACAAAGCTGCTATAATGAGGACTAGACACTCTTTCATGTATCATTACATTAGATTACCAACATCCCTGTAACTAGGTCTAGATACCCATCCTTGTATTGTTATCATAGAACATCAACATCCCTGTAACTAGGCCTAGATACCCATTCTTGTATTGTTATCATAGAACATCAACATCCCTGTAACTAGGCCTAGATACCCATTCTTGTATTGTTATCATAGAACATCAACATCCCTGTAACTAGGCGAGATAACCATCCTTGTATTGTTACCATAGCAAAACATCAACACCCATGTAATAAGACTTAGGCACTCATCCTTCTTAAGAACCAAAATATAAAAGATGTAATCCTAGTTAGTCATTAGAAGCTTAAACTGAGAACCACATAATTGTCAAGCCTATACAGTCTTGGCATATGTAATCGTTACGTCTTAATCGTTACGATATTATTATATCAAAACATGAAATATATATAATTATCACAACCTAATGATAATCATTCGGATCATTAATTTCTAGCATCAATCTGAGATGCTTTTGTATTAATAATTGATCTAACATTTATACATGATGTAATATTCTGATGTTAATTTGTTGTTTTATGGCATGGATGTTTGATCGTTTAACATCAATATGTAATATCTAATGTCCCAACATAAGTGCATGGTATATTTCAGTAAATATTATTTTAAATCGTCTTTTATTAAATCTATTAATTCAGCAGCATATTCTTTACCAAGTCACATTTCTTCAAGGCAATCTCTACTCTCAGGAACTCGTGCACGCAATCTCTACTCTCAGGAACTCGTGTACGTAATCTCTACTCTCAGGAACTCGTGTACGTAATCTCTACTCTCTCACCGACATAAGCTCCATTATCATGTACATACATATATTACGACATAAGCTCCATTATCATGTACATACATATATTACGACATAAGCTCCATTATCATGTACATACATATATTACAACATAAGCTCCATTATCATGTACATACATATATTACAACATAAGCTCTATTATCATAAACATACATATATTACAACATAAGCTCCATTATCATGTACATACATATATTACAACATAAGCTCCATTATCATGTACATACATATATTATCTCTACTCTCTCACCAACATAAGCTCCATTATCATAAACATACATATATTACAACATAAGCTCCATTATCATGTACATACATATATTATCTCTACCCACACCAACATCCCTGTAACTAGGCCTAGACACCCATCAACTCTCACCAACATAAGCTCCATTATCATGTACATACATATATTATCTCTACCAACACCAACTCACCTTCTTCTTTAGTTTCAAATATCACCGGATCAGATGGATCACCTCTGCCTACTTCGTTCTCTGCAAGAAGTCGAACAGTATATTCGCTTCCTGGCTGGAGATCGCGAAGCAGAGTGGATGTTTCTGTGCTGGACAACAAGACTTCATGCAACTTTCCAGAAACTTCTAAAATAATAATAATATAGCAATCACAAAGTACCTCTGAGATTATTGTCACCTTTTATCACCGAAAATCCACCAAACATGAAGTTCCACTTAAAGTGTTAAATTTTTTTTCCATAAATCATAGGAACTAATGTAAAAAATTCAGTATTTAGTCATTCTTGATTTGTAATGTGTTGTATAAAACAGTAATAATTTGTTTATGGAAGGTTTTAATTTAACTGTGACGCTACTTTTCTTTCTATACTAGCTAGAAACCAGTGACATTACGTTGTCTATTAAGCACGTGCAACTGGTACTGTATTCAGATTCTCAAGGATCTGCATACTTTACTTTTGTATAAACCTATAGATATTCTTTAACATGGTGGAAATACAGCTGTTGCAATACTTACCCACAACAACAAGGTGAGATTCTGATGCCAGAGTACTTACTAGTGACAACAAGTTGAGGACCTGATTTAAACTACTAAAGTTGTTCAGTACGTAATACAAAAATGATTTTGGGTTGTCACCCTATCCATCATCGCTTTAGGTGATGACCATATATCTTCATAATCACCCTGCAATGTAGTTTCAATTTCAAATGACTGTCATATCCAAAGCATACAGCACCTTCCTTTATGCTTCCCATAATCCATCTACAAGAAGACTATTGTTCCCCCATAGTCCATTTCAGCAGTCTGATCACACAGAAACCTATAGGTGGTGGATCTGGCACATTGGCCAGCATGTCTTCAATGGAATAGCATGAATATTTATTTCATTCTCCAGCTACTGGGAGGGAGGGGGGTATGTGACAGTTGAATGGATATTTTGTGGAAGCAGCTAACATATGCATAATTTGTGTAATTTTTTCAGGAGGAGATTCTTTTTGATGAAGTAGCCTGCTATTGAATGGAACGTGTGAACAACTTTTCCCATTGATCTTCATATGTTTGTGGACACACCTGTTATATTAGACCACTTGACAAACAGTAAGATACCAGCTGTGGTAAAACATTAGACCACTTGACAAACAGTAAGATACCAGCTGTGGTAAAACATTAGACCACTTGACAAACAGTAAGATACCAGCTGT